ATGCGGCCCATACCTGAGACGTGAATTGGGGACCCCTGTCTGAAACTATGTCCTCTGGTATGCCAAAACTGCGAAATACATGCTGGAACAAACTCTGGGTGGTCTGAAATGCCCTGGGAATGGCAGAAAAAGGGATAAATGTTACTCCTGTGGAAAAACGATCTACTACAGTCAGGATGGTAGTATTCCCTTGTGACAGTGGTAAATCAGTAACCAAATCATCCGCTATGTGGGACCAGGGTCTATTAGGTACTGGTAGGGGCATTAGCTTTCCAGCAGGGAGTGTCTTTTGGGTCTTGCACTGGGAACATGTCAAACAGGATGAAACAAAGAAATGAATGTCTTTAAGCATTGATTCCCACCAATACCGCTGCATTAAAAGTTTATGGGTTCGGGTTTCTCACGGGTGTCCAGAGATGAGAGACGAGTGAGCCCAGGTAATGAGCTGTGTGTGGAAGGCCTCAGGAACATACAGTTTATCAGAAGGGCACTGATTGGGGATTTCATGGTTCCGGAGAGCTTTTTCGATGTCTTCATCAATCTGCCATCTAATGGAGGAGATGGTGATTTCCGGCGGTAGAATGGTCTGAGAGGTTTCATTTTCTAGGGTGCACTTCTCTCATTCGTGAATTCGCGATAACGCATCCGCCTTGGTGTTACGAGAACTGGGTCTATAAGTAATGTTGAAACGGAATCTGGCAAAGAAAAGGGACCATCTGGCTTGTCGTGCATTTATTCTTTTAGCCATACGGAGATATTCTAGATTCTTGTGGTCTGTTAAAACAGTGAATGGAAAATTGCCGCCCCTCCAGCCAATGATGCCATTCTTCCAAGGCTAGTTTAACTGCTAAGAGTTCACAATCTCCTATGCCATAGTTTCTCTCTGCAGCAGACAATTTATGCGAATAAAAGGCTATAGGGTGTAGTTTTTGAGGCAAGCCGGTTCTTTGAGACAGTACAGCCCCTACTCCAGTCTCTGATGCGTCTATTTCTACGATAAAGGGCTGTTCAGGATCAGGGTGTTTTAATGTGGGGGCTGTGGAGAATGCTTCTTTGAGTTTCTGGAACGCACATTCTGCAGATTCCATCCAAGTGATCTTCTTGGGACTACCCTTTAATAGGGATGTGAACGGGGAAGCAATGGTGCTAAAAGTTCGCAAACCCCAAAAACCTCTGGATTTCCTTCACTGAGGTGGGAGTAGGCCACTGAACCACCGCTTCCACCTTGTGGTCATCCATTGTAACTCCTTGGGGGCTAATGATGTACCCTAGGAAAGAGACTGACTGCAGATGAAATTCACACTTCTCTGCTTTCAAAAATATATTACTCTCTAGGAGTTTCTGAAGGACTAAACGAACGTGTGTCACATGGGTCTCTTTGTCAGGCGAGTAAACGAGAATGTCATCCAAGTATGCTATAACAAAGTGTCCTAACATATCTCTGAGAATGTCATTAATGAACGCTTGGAACACAGAGGGGGCGAAGTAGGGGGCGTAGTGCCCCCTGGTGGTCAAAAAGGCAGTTTTCCACTCATCACCTTCCCGCACTCAGATCAAATTGTAAGTGCTCCATAAATCAAGCTTGGTGAAGAACTTGGGAAGAACCAAGGGAAGAGGATAGGGGTAGGCTTTTGAAATCTGATTGAGGATAATCTATACATCTTTCTTTTTAATGAAAAAGAAACTAGAGGCTATGGGGGACGTAGAGGCCCTGATGAAACCTTGGTCTAGGGCTTCCTGAATGTAGATGTTGAGGGCCTTTGTTCCTCCTGTGTTAAGGGATAAATTCGGGCTTTGGGGAACACGGGATTCTCTACCAGTTCTATTGCACAGTCATATGATCTATGAGGGGGCAATTTGGTGGCATTTTTCTTGTTGAAAACGTCCTTTAAATCATTATACTCAGGGGGAATCTCAACCATAGTGTCAGCGTTGGGGCTTTCTATTGATGTGGACATAATGGCGATGGAAGGAGTGGTGATACAGGAATGGACACAAAAATCTGACCATTTGGTAATAGTATGTTTGGGCCATGAGATGACAGGGTTATGTTTCTCTAACCATGGAAGTCCTAAATTTATTTCGAATTCAGATTGTTTTAAGACTAGAAGGGACAAAGTCTCCTAATAATGGAGTCCGTTAAGGTCTCCGAGTCAGAAGGAAGTTGTCTAGTCATGTGATCTTCCTGAGGGTTTTGGGAAATAAAGTCCATAGCGTCTTGTGATGCTGGTGAATGCGTGACAGACAGATTGTAGCATTTAAAGTAAAGGGTGCTGCAGTATTTGCTGTGTTTATGTGAATCCAGTGTTCTGGTTGCTTGCCAGAATGTGGTGATGTTACTATAAGGGGTTGAAACGTTTAAACAGGTAAAGTGATAACTGCACAGCTATCAGGTCTAAGCTACAGCCTGATGTAATGACATGGTGGGACATTAGCATGTTCAGAAGTTGTTGCTACCAAATTGGCTTACACACTTTTTTTCAGGCCTACGCAACAATTTCTTTTTGCTTTTGCCTCCCCAGAGGAAAAAAAATCTTTCTTAAGATTGTCTCAGAGAAATAAAGCAGATCTCGATATTATATCATTGAAGGATCACTGATTTCTGAATTGTTATTCCTAAACCCCCTTAGGAGAAAAGAGGAGATTAACCTCAGCATTTTACTGTGAGAAGTTCTGGTGATGAATGAGAATGAATGAATTTGAGTTCTCCTTTTGCACTGACAGATGGTGATGAGACACTTTTCTTTGGAGATATTATTCAGCTGAGACTGGGGTGAGACGACTCAGACACTAAAGAGTTAAGTCTCACTCTGATTTCAAACTGGACCTAACTATGTCTAGGAGAAGTAACTGAGGTCAAGAGATCTCGATTAGAATATTTCTTTCCTTTACACACATTTTTGTGCTTCCCCTCATCTCTTTCCTTCCACCAGTTCTTATAAAATTGTTGTTGTTTTTAAGTACAAAAGATGCAATTTCATAAAATATGTTTTTACAAACTTGATTTGAAAACAACTGTGGCAGCGGGAATGTGGTCTAGCATTGTTTACAGGGCAGAGAGCCAGTCGCAGTGAACCGGCAGGTAATTAGGCTATGCTTTTCACCTGTGTGTCATTTGATGGCAGCTTATTTCTGCTTGTCTGTCTGTCAGTAGGTTGTTGGAGAGAGAGCGCACACTTCTCTGACACAGAGCCAACATAAAAACAACTGGAAAGTCAAAAGTCCTGGAAGTTTTGTTTTGTTTGTATAGCTGGTGACTAAAAAGCTAAGCCAAAATCCTGTAAGTTCCTTCATTAAAAGTTTCAGTTCTGTGTTTATTACTCCAGCTCACATGTCCTCTCTCCCCTTAAACCTAAGGGTTATTACATCAACCTACCTTCTATATTTCTATAATGTTTTGTCTTTGTGGCTTTTGGCCCAAACTACAAACATTACACTTTGACAAAAATTGGGAGCTATTTCTTTAGAGTGAGATTTTGAAGGTGGAAGGAACTTTTGAAAAAGTAATAAAGCGATGAAGCTGAGGGATTTAATGCTGAGTATAGAATGCTGCATACCGCACCTAATAAAATGTTAAATTCTTGTTTGAGGCTTGATGACTCATTTAAATTAGGGAACTACAATAATTTGCAGAGCATAAAGTCTCCAGTATTGACTTTAGGCAACACTGCATTAGATGCTAACAGACATAGGAAATAATAAGTGTAGCAAAATGGGCTTCCTCCTCTTCGCCAGCCTTTTTTTTTTTAGGCTGAAGTTTATGATTTGTGAGTGGGTTTTGGGTGGGTGGGTGAGTGGGTTTTGGGTGGGTGGGTGTGTGGGTAGTGGGTTTTGTGTGGGTGAGTGGGTTTTGGGTGGGTGGGTGAGTGGGTTTTGTGTGAATGGGATTTCGTTGAGTGGGATTTGGGTGGGTGGGTGAGTGGGATTTGGGTGAGTAGGTACACCATAGCAACTGCCTAGCAACACCTTAGCAACCATCAGAGATACTATGGCAGTGGCTTAGCAACACCTTAGAAATCACTGTGGGTGCCATTGCAACGGTATAGCAAAACACCTTAGCAAACACCTGGAATACCACAGACATGTGCCTAGCTGCACCTTAGCAGCCACGTGGGATATCATAGCAATGGCCTGGCATCACCTTACCAACCACCAGGGATAATGTAACAACCACTTAACACCTTCTCTGTTACCTGAGATACCATAGCACGTGCCTAACAACACCTTAGCAACCACCTGGCATGTCATAGTAACAGCCTCACAACACCTTAGCAACCATTTGGGATAGCCTAGCAATTGCCCAGCAACACCTTAGCAACTACATGGAATACTTTAACGTTTGCTTAGCGGCACCTTAGCTATCACCTGGGAAAACCATAGCAACTGCCTAGCAACACCTTAGCCACCTGGGATAATACACCAACCACCCAACGCCTTATCCACCATCTGGGATATCATAGCATAGCCTTTTGTAAGTGTCACTCTATAGTTGCATCACATACATACATACATTGTCTAAACCGCTTATCCTTCTGGGTCGCGGTGGGGTGCTGGAGCCTATCCCAGCTGTCATTGGGCGGAAGGCAGAATACACCCTGGACAGGTTGCCAGTCCATCACAGGGCATAGTTGCATCACAACCTTTTCAAATCACTACATATAAAGAACATTTAATGCAAAAGAAGCAGAGGAAAGATATTGATGGTTAACAGTGGTTTATTATGAAAGAGATTATATTGCAAACTCCATTACAGTGTATAACAATTAGCTTCACTAGTTGTCAAAAAAGCTGAAAAACTATTTCTTGCAAAGGTTCAAACAGTACAAAGTGAGTAGAAGTAGCTTTGTAGTAACGTACATGATCATTGTGGAGTGAACATTCTGTAGATCACAGTGGAGGTTCTGCTGTAGAGCTTTGAGGAGAACTCAGTACAGTTTTATTTTTAGAATAAAAAGGTCTAAATGTGCACACAGAATTCATCCACTATGCTATGAATTGTAGTAAAATCCGCTTAGACCCAGAGTTCCTGCTATGGAAAAGACACAGACTACAGAATGACGCATGAGGTCTATTTCTCAGTGTCTCCAGACATTCTCATTACTAACATTTAAACCCTGTATCCTCTAAATTTTAAATGATCTCCATCACTTTATCCCAGCAGTGAAAATCTAATGGTGTTTGGTTGAAGTGTTCAGGTGGAAGTTTGTCAGATTGAATTCACACATCCAGTTTTCTTTCCCTGAACAGGAAAAGTCGTTCCATGTTCGCTGACTGTCTTCAGTTGTAGTGGTGAAAATAGCACAGTCCTCCTCGGCACTAGCATTGTTGGGTTCACCGCTCCTCCAGAATCTGATAATCAGACACAGCATTAATCTGTAATCATCGCATATTTAGCAGCTACTCTGGCTCCTTTACTCTGTATAAATGGAATACAGTAAGATAATGAACAGAAAAGGGAAAATTTATTTGCATTACATTGAGTTTAACTACTTGTTTGTATCTTATCTTGACGTACTTGTCGGTCAGCGGTTGGCCGTCCACCCACTTCCATGTGTTTTCTGTCTCTTCATCAGTCAGACCAATCCAGAAACTGCTCTCTTTCTTTTGATCAATGAGGAACATCTGAAAAAATAACATAAATAATAAACAATACTCAATTATAATTACTAAATAAAACTACAAACCCCCCAACCCACCTGCTCCTCTCTGCTGTTTATGATCACCAGATCTGCTCCTCCCTCTCTGCAGTCCTGTCTGCTCTCACTCCAGCTCTTATTCTCAGTGGAGAGAAAGTAAAAGCTGCTTCCAAAAGTCTTCAGTTCTTTAAAACAGCTTTTCTCTACAACAGAGTAATGAGAACATATTTTAGAAGCATGAATGAATATTTGTGCTTATTAATTGTGAGAATGGTGTTTCACTCACCAGTCAGCTTCACTAAATGATCATATTTGGTCTGTAAGATGTTTTTCGCAGTCAGATTCTGGTAGCTGCTCTTTAGCTGGTCTCTTTCTTCAGTCAGGTTTCTGATACTGGATAAGAGGGTCTCTCTCCCTGCAGTGAAGTTTGCAATGATGGTTTGGTCTCTAATATCTACATTCAGAAAGAATTACAGTTTTTATATTACAGCAGATGCATTCTGTATATCTGTATTTGGAAGATGACATATTTGTGTTTAAGACTGAAACACTCACAGTACATGTACAGCACTATGTTGGTGGTCAGCAGGAGAACACACAGCAGCCCCACACACACCACAGCCAGTCTGGAACATCTGATTCCTGTTCTAACATCTAAAGAGTGAACTGACTTAGAAGAAGTTTTCATTGTGAACACACTGAGAGTTTGTGCACTGAGAGTTACTCTACCTGTCTGCTGAGTTGTTGTCTCCCTCTGTGTGTTGGTCTCCTGAGCTCTAACAGCGTCTGCACTCATATAAATCTCCACCGTCTTCTCCACTCTCTCTCCTCTGTCTGCTTCACTCAGCTCAACACTGCTCACATCATCATAGATTCCCTCTGCCATTCTCTCTCTCTCTCTCTCTCTCTCTATCTCTCTGCGTTTCTCTAATACTCTACTAAACCTTCGGAAACTGCAGTGTTCACTGGAGTTCATAGTCTGGACAGGAAACAACATCAGACGAGCTTCTAACCACAGAGGTGTGAAAACAGGCCTCAGACATATGTGTGCACTTATTGCTGCACACATCAGCTCAGAGATGCACGGGGCACATTAGACCAGTTTAATCTATATTTGTGTGTGAGAGAGAGAGAGAGAGAGAGAGAAAGATAGGGAGAGAGAGGCTCATCAAGATTTATAAAAAAAGTCAAAAGCCATTTGTAATTTCCAGTCAAAGACTTGCTTTCATGACTTTAAAGGTCAGTTTTAGAGGCTGGTTGAATTTTCGGCTTCCACTTCACTATTATAGCGCTTACAGTTGACCAGGTAGAACTACCAAGGCAGAAATTTCACAGATTGCCTAGAGGCAAAGGTGGTATACTGTGACAGTAGAGTAAAGTAAATGTGAATCTCCACCCCCCCCCCACCCCCCTTTTTTTACATAAGTTTCCAGTTGTCCTTTACATTGTGTGAAAATTTCATCATAAACAGACCAATAGAAATGCACCAAATTGGGATTATTACACGATCATTCAACTTACTTCTAGACCTTTTACTTGTTTTTAGTGTTGGTAAGTTAAATTAACTCATTATATTGGCAGATCATTTCGCCTGTTTTAAGTGTATTTCCTCCAACAAGCAAAATTATCTGCCAGTATAGTGAGAGGATATGACTTACTAAAATCACTTAAAACAAGTAAGTTGAATAATCTTATAATAACTTAAAAACTATCGTAACATTAAATATTTGATATATTGACAAGATTTAAGGTGTTTTCTCTTGCTAACATATAATTTCTGTGCAGTGCATGCAGATGCTGTTTCGTCATTGTAATTATGAACATAACCGCAGCATGTATTCGTTCTGTTCCCTCTGTGTTTTGCTGTGCATTTACACTTTTAAACCTTCTTCTTTAAACAAGCTGCAACATTTCATGAGAGGTGTTGTGTGTAGACAGGAAGTTAGAAAAGTGGAGCGCTAAACAGGCATGAAACGCTGAACAGGCCTCCTAAAGCCTGCAGCTCAAAGATGATTAAACACTGATGGGTAACTGTCAGTGGACAAGAAGTAGAAATCTCTCCATTTTCATCTGTCATTTACAACAGCTTTTCTCTACAACAGAGCAATGAGAACAAACATATTTTAGAAGCATGAAGGAATATTTGTGCTGATTAATTGTGAGGATGGTGTTTCACTCACCAATCAGCTTCACTAAATGATCATATTTGGTTTGTAAGATGTGATCGTCCTCAACGAGGTTTCTGTAAGTGTTGTTTATCTGCTCTTTCTCCTCAGTCAGATTCTGGTAGCTGCTCTTAAGCTGGTCTCCTTCTTCAGTCAGGTTTCTGATACTGGATAAGAGGGTCTCTCTCTCTGCAGTGAAGTTGGCAACAACATCAGAGGAGTTTCCAAAAACAGAGGTGTGAAAACAGGCCTCAAGTATATTTATGCTCTTTCTGCTGCACATATGAGCTCAGAGATACTTGGGCTATGAAAGGACACATATGACACATATAATCAGCGTATGTGTCAGACAGAGAGCGAGAATGTGAGAAAGCGAGAGTCCCATCAGTGTATTTAGTACTTTGGAATAGTAAAAGGTCATTTGTTTAGTTTCCAGTCAAAACAGGCTTTATGTACAAGTTATTTAGAGTTCAGACTCAAAAGGCATAAAAAACATTAAATTGTTGAAATTACACAGAAGCATGTAATTTGTTCAGTATTTACTGTGTCCACTCTTTGCCTTTATTACAAAAGGTTGTGTTGCGCACAGAAATCTGCAGGGACTTCTTTGTTGTTTGCATTTTCTGCTTCTCACCATCCACGTGATACCAAACACATTCAGTGATGTTGAGGTCTGGACACTGGGGTGGTCAGTCCATTGTTTTGAGAACACCAGCAGCTTCTTTTTCCAGTTGGAAGGGTACAATTGTCCAAAATGTCTTGGTCTGCTGAAGCATTAAGATTTCCATTCAATGAAAAACAACCCCATAGCGTTATCCCTCCTTCACCAAACTTAACAGACACACCATTTGGCATTGCGCGTTTTGATCTTAGGCTGCTAGAAACAAAGCTTAAACTTAATAATTCTGCGGTTGCATCAGGTACATCTGTAAAAAACATTGCCTTAGTGTCACGCTCGATCCTCATCTGTCCTTCGATTCATATATAACCAATATTACTACAATAGCTTTCCTGCATCTCTGCGATATTGCAAAATAAGAAATCTCTCTCTAATAATTCATGCATTTTTTATCTCAGGGCTGGATTACTGTAATGCCCTGCTGTCTGGATGTTCCAGCAAAAGTCTCAACAAACTCCAGTTAGTCAACACCGCAGCCAGAGTTCTTACAAGAACTAAAGAAAGTTTGATCATATCAGCCCAGTTTTTTTAACCCTTCACTGGTTGATAAAACCATCACACCTACTTAGATCACAAGGTGCTGACTTGCTATTAGTACCTAGAATTAATAAAGTTACATTAGGGGGTAGAACCTTCTCATACAAAGCCCACCAGCTTTGGAAGACTCTTCCAGTCAGTGTTCAAGACTCAGACACAGCCTCAGTCTTTAAGTCTAGGCTAAAAAGCCACTTGTTTAGTCAAGCTTTTGGTAATTAGTTTTTCCCGTTAGCTAAGGGGTGCAGATCTAGGAGGTTCATGGATAAAGAGTATTATGGTAAACTGGGAGTGTTGGTGCTGTCACGCCTGTTCTAAAAAGTGCTATATAAAAAAAAAAAAAAAACTATGATTTGACTTGACTGGCTTGTGTGTAGCTGCCATGGAAACCCTTAGAAAGCACTGTGGTTGCCATAGCAATGGTATAGCAAAACACCTTAGCAAACACCTGTAATACCATAGACATGTGCCTAACAACACCTTAGCAACCACCTGGGATATCATAGCATAGCCTTTTTGTAAGTGTCACTCTATAGTTGCATCACAACTGTTTCAAATCACTACATGTAAAGAACATTTAATGCGAAAGAAGCAGAGGAAAGATATTGATGGTTAACAGTGGTTTATTATGAAAGAGATTATATTGCAAACTCTATTACAGTGTATAACAATTAGCTTTACTAGCTGTCAAAAAAGCTGAAAAACTATTTCTTGCAAAGGTTCAAACAGTACAAAGTGAGGAGGTAGTTTTGTAGTAACGTACATGATCATTGTGGAGTGAACATTCTGTAGATCACAGTGGAGGTTCTGCTGTAGAGCTTTGAGGAGAACTCAGTACAGTTTTATTTTTAGAATAAAAAGGTCTAAATGTGCACACAGAATTCATCCACTATGCTATGAGTCTATTTACAACTTAAACACTTGATCAGTTTGGACTGTAGTTCTCAGGCTGTTTAAATCCATGTGCTGAATAATAGGCCTGTTCCCTGTCAGACAATGTGGATGAGCTCACCATCGCTAGTTTTAGCTCTGCCTTCACAAGGTGTTGGATTGGTTTAGAAACATCACAGTCAGTTTGTTGCAACCTTCGTAAGTCTAGGTGTCCACTCACATTTAGCCCAAAACACAGCTCTGAAGTTCTGTCGTCATTCTGTTGTCAGTGTCATTTCCGTATTTCTTGGGTCTAAGCAGTTTTTCTCTATGGGAAAAATGAATGACATATTTAAAAACCTGCTATTATTGTGATGTTTCAGAGTCGATACATTTGGCCGTATGGACATTTTCCCTCTGAATGTCACTGTATCCTCTAAACAACAAGGTCATGAAGGAGCCAAAATAAGACTGCTGCACACTGAATAGTCACTATTTGACTGGCAACCTCACCAAAGCACCCTACAAAAAGCAATAAGCGTTTTCAGATGTGGTAGTTCAGTTGCTCTGGCAGTAGAAGAACACAGTCTGAGTAGCTGGAGTTAGTATTTCACAGAGTTTAAGTCAAATAGTAGATTTACTTTCATGCAACGTCTGTTCAGTGTGCAGGAGGCGAATTCCGAAAACAGCATTCATTTTATTGTAGTAAAATCCGCTTAGACCCAGAGTTCCTGCTATGGAAAAGACACGGACTACAGAATGACGCATGAGGTCTATTTCTCAGTGTCTCCAGACATTCTCATTACTAACATGGTTTAAACCCTGTATCCTCTAAATTTTAAATGATCTCCATCACTTTATCCCAGCAGTGAAAATCTAATGGTGTTTGGTTGAAGTGTTCAGGCGGAAGTTTGT